ACTGGATGGGCTTTAAGGTCTCTTCCAACCCAAACCAGTCTGGCATTCCCTGGCTTTCCCTCCCCCAACACACCAGAAAAGTGAAACTGAAACTTTTTTTTGGTGAAAAACAAGCTGCCTCAGGAAACAAGGCTTTGTTTCTGGCTCTCAAACACCAGCTCTCCCCTGCACAGCACCAGACCACACCCAAGGGGCTGGCCTGGGCTGATTGCTTTATATCTCCAGGGAGATTTGCCCCCAAAATCTGCACCCTCAGAGCCTGTGAGCTGTGAACTGTCTGCACCATGACTGGGGTTCATCAGCAAAGGGGGATGAGTCCAAACAACCCACAGCTCCTGCTCCTTCCTCTCCAAACACTCCCTAAAACAACCCTCTGAAAGTTGGGTCCTTAGATAATGTGGTGTATTTAGGTCATTATTTTGAAAGCTTCTTAAAAATTGAACAAACATTTGGTTACTTATTTCAAGTAATTTGGCTTAACTTGCCTTGCCTCTTTCCCAAGGCACAAATCCACCTGGCTGGGCTGCAAAACTTCATCCATAAGCAGCAGAATGTTTAAAAAAGTCACCAGATACGTTGTAAACCAAGGGGATCCAAACCAAGAATGGGTCCCTGTCGAGAGCATCACAGACAACGAGCACTTCAGACCCTTGTGTCTTCTGACACAAAAAAGAAAACCAAAAACCGAATTCCACCCAGGTCCCTACTACCAGTGCACAAACTTTAGTCTGGACGATGTGCTGCTGCCTGAAGAAGATGGGATAAGCACAGGTAAAGCCCAGATATATCAACCTGATATATTCAGGTTCACAAATTCCATAGACAATGTTTTGGGGTCACTGGGGTCATGGCTGAACTGTCCCACGTTCCAGCTTTCCTGTGGGTGAAATACTTACAGTGCTGAGTCTGTGCCATCCTGCTGAAGCAAATGCATGGAATCATTTCAGAGTCCCTCCTTCCCTCCGGAGATGGTCCAGATTACAACAGATTAGCTCTCACAAAGGTCACTGCTGACAAAGTCAAGGGGGATCTCAGCCTTAGTGTTGACCCTGCAAGTGTGGAGCTGAAAGGAAGTGGCTCCTTGTCCCAGGAGTTTTCCATCAAGCTGCAGAAGAAGGCCATAAAAATGAACTCACTGGAGACAATGAGAAAGAAAAGGTAAGGCAGGACAAAGGCAGCACACACGCTCTGGCCATCCCCACCCAACCCATCCCAGGTCACACAGTGGGTGTTCAACAGCAAGAAAAAAACAAGATTCAGACCTTAGACAATGAATTCCCCCTAACTAGGCCAGGCTGGGTGGGGCTTGGAGCCAGAA